TAAAATGGTTAGCTGTATGACACGTGTGCACAAGACAAGTCCACAGGTAAGAGAATTCCACAATTATGGGGCCACCACTGAAAAGGCCCTCTCCTCAGTAACTATCAGCCTGATTTACCATAGTGGTAAGTGAAAGAGCAGAGCCTTGGCAGGTTCATATGTGAGTTGGAAGTCCTTCAAATAACTTGTTTCTGAACCATGCAGAGCTTTAAAATGATTAGTAGTGACTTTTTTTAAAGGAGCCTGGAAAAATAAAGATAACCAATATAACTGATGAAACATTTGTAGAACATGACCAAGCCATTATGGCACCTGCATTTTATCCCAGTGGATATTTTCCTAGCCATCTTCAAAAGGATGACTCACACAGAGAGCTTTATAGGAGTCCAGGCTAGATATAATCTACAAGTGTGTAGCTGGTATTCAGTCTGATCCTACATACTTTTACTTAGAAGTAAGTCTCGCCAAATACAGTGGGCTTATTCTCAAATAAGCTTTCATAAGATTGCTGTCTTAGAGCCACCATTATTGCTGATAACCAACTCAGAATTACTAAAATGCTATCATAATTTATTAAGTCACTATCATAGGGAAAACTCAAATCACTTATGTCCCACAATTATTCTAAATTCAACTTTTAAATGAGGGGAGGAGATAATGATATTAACTTCTTAACTTAGAGCAATTCTCTGTGGTATAATTCTAAAATATTCTCTGGGTCTGAAATTTATGTAAATTGAATTCATCTATCATTGCTTATTACCAGGCTAGCTACAGGAAAAAAAAGTTTTCTGTAACAATTAGTTCTTTAAAACACTATGTTTTAATTAGACCTATGATGTTATTATACAAGTTATAAATATGCACAAATTTCTGCCCACAGATCTGCAGGAATTCATTTCAGCACTAAGAACAGTTTGAGGTTTAGTTCCCCTTTTAAATCCATACATTTAGACATAGCCTGTAAAAGCAGTCTAACAAATGCTAATATATTTGAATACCAGGAGGATGCATATCCGTATCTCAGCTAAACCACATTCATATTCCCAGGACCCCTAAACAAGCAGAGCAATTAGCTTGAAAAAATTATATTTCAGCAACCAAGTATACATTCTGTTAACTTTCCAGATCTGACCTTAAAATCTAAAAAAAACGTTTACAAGAATGTCTCTACAAGTCACAAAATTATTACTATATAGGAATCCTGTAGGGTGGGGAACTTGTGCCCCTCCAGTTGTTGAAGACAAACAATTATGTCATCAAAATGTGTTGCCAAATGGTCACAGTAGGATTTAGAGGGAACTAGAGCCCTATTTGCTGAAAGCTGGTTCATTTGGTTGGGCTGGATGCCCTAAAATAGCGAGAGGGAACTATAACCTCCAAATAGTTACCAGATGACCCCAATCCTATGAACATGGCCAAGTGGACTTGACACCATTAGTGCAACTCCAGACATGATGTGTGATTGTACCATCTGCCTGACCTTGTGGGACTGATGCCACTTGCTACAGCCTGATGATATGCTTGCAACAATGAGAATGGCCATATCCCCCTCAAGCCTTGCCCTTCCCATCTAATAAAATCTAGCTGAGGGGTATGACTAGGTGGGTAAATGCATCTCTACATGAAAGTGTGGTTCCTGCTGGCATTAAAGAGACAGTAGAAAAACTACTCCTGAAAAAACCCACTGTGGACCCAAGGGTACTTGATACTACCACGCAGTCTCCAAATCCCCTTCCTTAGGGACGGTGCTAGGGTTGTCAAAGAACAACCAAAGACAGTCTTGGAGCATTCTGATTATTTAGACCCATTCCAGTCTGGATATTGACCTATTATGAGACTGAATCAGACTTTGTCACCTTGATGGACAACTGCTATCAAGAAAGGGAAGGGGGAGTACAACCCTGTGAATCTTGCTCCATCTCTCATCTGCTTCCAGTACTGTACTATACCCTTGGATTGACTCTGAAAACTGCACACCAGTTCCAGTACTACCTGTATGATCAATTTCAGAAAGTAACATTAGGTGATTATTCCTCAGTGCCTTGGCAACTGGGCTATGGGGCTCCATGAGGTATCATCTTGATTCTGGTATTGTTTAACATTTGTATGAAGCAAACTGGAAGTGGGTGTTAAAGAATTTGTAGCTAAGTGGCATCTGTATGCTGATCTCACACACAGCTCTGTCTCCCTGTGACATCTGAATCAGGGGAGAATGTACAAGTCTCAATCAGTGCCTAGACTCAATGATGGGCCAGAATGTCCAAAAAATGGAAGCTGAATGCTGGCAAGTCAGAAACCTTGTTGTTGTTGTTGTTGGTCGTGAAGTCGTGTCCGACCCATCGCGACCCCATGGACAACATTCCTCCAGGCCTTGTGGATGAGCAATTCCTAAGTCAGCAAGATGCATTCAACACTATGCAACACTAGCTCTTATCTAGAAATCAGTCTGCTTGCAGCTGGCATGCTCATGGTTTCAGAATTTATGCCTTCAGAAAATCAATTTTAAATTAAATTTGGAGCATTGTGAATCTGTCAGTAAATTCAGTAATTTGGACAGCTCATGAGAAAGGCAACAGGCTTTGTAGTGTGTTTTATCTGAGTAGAAATTACTACAGAACAGAATGGGTAGGAAGGTTTATTGAGGTTTATGGCCCAGCAGCAGATATGCCATGCAGCAAAACACACTAGTCTTATGGCAAATGCAGGGCAAAGTGAATGGGAAAATCTGTTTTTAACTGAAGGCTAAGCAATGAAGGTACTCAGGTCAGGAGCATGGACTATATTACTTCTTGGTCAGTTTTCAGGACAGGAATCCTCTCAAGGTGGCATGCAACAAAACACAGACACCTTCTACCAACTGATACAGTCTTAAATATGTCCACAATAAACACTGCAGCAAACATATCAGGGGAAGACCAAATTGGAAAGTTTTCCGGGCCTTCTTAAAGATGGAGCCTGGTGGACTTATAATGGCAATTTATCCCAGACATGTGGCATCCCTGTGGAAAAGGCATTCACGTAGTCACCTACCTGACTGCTCTCACAGGTGGGCAAATGAGGAGGCTCATAATCTGAGGTAATTTGCTCCCAAGCTAATGAAGGTTCTAAAGGTCATAATGGACAATGTAAACCAGGCTAGGAAACATACCTGTAACCAGCACAGCACTTATATGGCTGAATCAACTCACCCTCCAACACTAGGGCAGTTAAAGTTGCTGAACCATCCTCAAAGGCAGCCTCACATTCAGCAAACATTAGAGGAGGCCAGCCTGGACATGGGTAATCAAGGAAAGATCCATCTTCTCCAGAAAGAACTGCAGCTGGCATACTAGACTAAACTGGTAAAGTGCACTCAGGGACACTGCTGCCACTTGAGCTTCTCCAGTTCACAGAGAGCCCAGGAGGCCTTCCAGACAGTTCACTTGACCTTTCTGGGGAAAACTCCATCTAAGACCAATACTAAGCTGATATCTTCTATTCCCATCCTGTTGGCAAACCAAAACTGTCTAGTCTGGATTAACTTTCACCTGGTTTAACTTCATCCACCGAAGAATGGTCTACCCACCTTTTTCTATATCATTTGTTAGGGCATACAGTAGGGCAAGGTAACACTTCTCTGATATGAAAAGTTCTACAGCTGAGTCCAGCTGCAAAAGCTACTCTTTTGCAGAGACCTAATACCCCAGACTGGGACTGCAGGTGGCGCAGTGGTTTTAAATCGCTGTGCTGCTGGGCTGGTTGATTGAAAGGTCGCCGGTTCAAATGTGCACAACAGGGTGAGTTCCCGTTGCTCCATCCCAGCTCCTGCCAACCTTGCAGTTCGAAAGCGTGCAAATGCAAGTAGATAAAAAGGTACCAATTTGGTGGGCAGGTAACAGTATTCCATGCACTTTGGTGTTTAGTCATGTCGGCCACATGACCACGGAGACTGTCTGTGGACAAACGCTGGAGATGAGCACCCCCCCTAGAGTCAGGCATGACTGGACTTAATGTCACGGGGAAACCTTTACCTTTACCTTTAATACCCCAGACTATGTGATCCGTTCAAATGAAAACGGTTGAAATAAAATAGTTGAAAAATGTACTGCTCCTTACATGAAAAGCACATCCAAACAGGCTAGTATGTTTCCAAATACCCATCTTATCTCACATACCTTGCAGCATTTTTGTATATGCCTGTTTAATTTATTGGTAAATATTCATAACCTACTAAAACAATACCTTTCATGCTTCCTTATTTTATGCATTTACCACTGACTTAACTTTTTATTAAAAACAGTATTAGCACCATCCTTGAGATGAGCCATTTGCATTATAAAGATGCAAAATTATGCAAAGTGAGTGGCCCAGCTGTTTAATTTGCTTAATACATAAAACAGGGAAAGGAAAGCCTTCCTTTCTGTATATTTATAGTGTATCATGCTCAGAAGTGCAGCCCTAGCATGCGAACACAGGAATTATACTTCAAGTGTATGCTTATTTTTATTTCTTCCAATAGTCTCCCTGGGGACATGGAACAAGCTTTTTCTCTGGCAGTGATATATGCTAATGATGTGATTCGTCACTGAGTAAATTAGCATTGCCTCTCATCATCTGGGCCATGTTTTCCTTTCAAAATCCATGGCCCCTTGATAGAAAATAATGATTGTGTGATAAACCTCATTAGAAAATCAATATATTGACACTAGCCTCCAAAACATCTGAATAATAATGGATTGTCTCCTCATTAAGGAGACTATTATCATGTAGTTAAGCATCTTTAAATTATATTGATTGGAGATTATTTGTGCACTATTTTTCTAGAGAGCATGAGTCACTGAAAAGAACTACAAGCTTCAGTACTGAAATTAGCAACAGAACAGATAATATGGGATTGCCAAATCTTTTTCAGAGCAATGATCAGTCATAATTAAAACATTTTAAAATATGTTTAATCAAATATAGCGGTGTGGGAAAAAGCAGCCAGTGGTATGCGGGGAAAAACATTGAAAACTTACCAGAAAACTTCCAAATGCAGAATTAAATATAGCAGCTGCCTAGAAAAAGAAAAAATGAAAAGGAATAAATAATAGTCTTGTACTTTAGATGAAATGCTCTTGTCTACCCATGCAGCCTTCTGGATGTGCACCACCACCACTTAAAACAATTACAGGTCGCCTAAAAGGAGGCATGCTTTAATCTACAACTCCGCAAGTAAGGGGGCTATTTTAAAAAAAGGCAAAGAAGAACTGAATGCCAGTCATGCTTTTGAAATTACTTGCACAAATAGTACACAAAGTCTATCAGTGTGATCCTATGCACTATTATTAGCAAGTAAACCCATGATGCTCAATGGGACATGCTGTTGAATAAACATGTTTAGGATTATGTTGTTAATCTTGCAAAAAAAAAGGTCAACAGGGGGAGAAATTATGATAGTTAATTGAATATAAATGTCTTATTAACTTATGTCACAGTATGTCAACTGAACAAGCCATATTTTGCCTGAATATTCCCCAGTTATTTTCCAAACCTTTAACTGAATATGTTGTTAAATGTTTTAATGCAATTTTAATAAAATACTTTAAAACAAAACAACTACACACGTTGCAGATAGCTGACAACAAACGACAAGAGCCACCTTTGCAATTTTGTAAAATTTTACATTGTGAAAAAACAAAAGTGATACAGAACAAAAACATAGTTAATTCTGAAGGCCACAGGGCTATCTAATGAATGCACTGAACATAACAAAAAAGAAAAAATAAACAATTTTGAAGTGCTTTGGAGCAGACAAATTTGCTTACCGAAATTTCCAAGAAATAGCGATGAGAAAGAGCATTAAGCATATGCTACTAAATTCCGGGAGACATAGACTATTTCACTCTTGTAAGCTTTCGCCTTTACCATGAAAGAACAAGGAACTCTTGTATGGCATTCACTACACTGATGCTGAACCAAGAGTAGAGGGAAGATGGGGGAGGGGGAAGAGCCTGCTATTTACATGACGAGTCGAAGCAGAATCAAATTAATCACCAAGGACGTCTTCCAGTCATACGGCAAGGATGTTCGAAAGAGCCTGGCAAGTTTGAACCAAATCCAAAACACAGGCTAAGCTGCAGCAGAACCTGCCTTCTGCTCTATGGAGAGAGTGCAATGAGAATGAATGGCTAATGAGATGGTTGGCTCCAGAGAGCTTAGCTTTCTTATTCAAGTTCATAATTAATTCAAAGCTTTGATAATTTCATTAGAGCCATTCTCGACTGGCCCTATCAATAAAAGATATCACTGGACCATCGCTTCATAGAGGCCCAAACACACAAGCGAGTACAGGCTTGGAAGCTTTAGCTCAGTTGCTTCTTGTGAGCAAGGGCAATGGCATATGGCATTCCATGTTGCAGAGGGAGCCTCTGAATACAAGCGGCTAAATAAAACATCATAGTTGACAGTTGTAAAACTACAGCAACATATTTTAACATCTCTACTTCATCAGCATTCTGTTTTTGAACATAAGGAATAGGCAGCAGTCCAAAAGAATCACTTTGCCAGTGATCACAGCTAAGACAAGTAGGTGGATTACCAACAAATAGGAATCCAACAAGTTTTTCAAATTGTAGTTTCAAATCTTGATAGAGCCCATGGGAATTATATATACCACATCCCTTAGCCTGATTTTGATCTATCCTTTGGATCAAGTACCTTAGGATCAGACCTTCTGCCACATGAACTTGCCCAATTTTTGCGACCATCTCCTGAAGCCACCTAGGTGCCCTCAGCTTCAGAGGTTAGATGGATAGCAAATGAAGACAAGCTCTTTTCTGATGTATGTATGTATGTATGTATGTATGTATGTATGTATTTATTTAGGAGGCTGCTATGCCACCCCATTCGCCGAAGCCTCGGGACGACGCACAACCATAAATCCTGTTTTCAGAGTACTTTTGACCCTGCACACATGACCCTGCAACAGGCTGAAGTAATCTGCTTTGGGTGGTATCATGGGTCCTGCAAGTGTGTGACAAAGGTGGTATTTCTGCAGCTTCCTGAAGTCTACCACTGCTGGCTTCATAGACTCAGCACAGTCAGTACAGTGCCATTCTGGAAACTACATGGGACTGCAGCAAGGTGCTGGGACAGCCACAGTGATGTGAGTTCAGGGTAGCTGCTCAATTGAGCAGGGGAGCTGAATGAAGAGGCCAAATTGCTGCTGTGTTGCAGGGAGTGGGGAAGAGCATGCTTTAGTTGCTTAGACTCTAAGGAGGGTTGAAGTCTGTGTTGATATCTGGAAGTTGAATTTCCTTTGTTTATACTGGGCAGGACTGTATGACATGCTAAGCCAACCTGCAAATAAGCTTCACAGTGTGTACTTGACAAACTATTGGACTCATCATGGCTTCTTCTCCCTGTTCTCTTTCCTTGGTCTTCCAGCTGGTATCCCAGTCCCCTTCAGGGCAGGGCCCATCTTGTATCCTCCTTCCTGCTCCAATAACAACCTTCTGATTTGCTGCTTTTAAAATTTTACTTTTCAGAAAGTCAAAAATGCAAAGTGAGTGAGGTTCTGGTTCTGTTCCAGAAGATTGTGCAATTGGGTTGATATTTTATATTCTTATCATCTTTTTCAGTATTTGTCAAATACTAACTCTACCTGCCCTTCTTTGTGGCTTTCTTTTCTGAATGCTAGCTGTTGTAGTTACTCAAGTTCCCCAAAGTTTGGTCATGGGGTAGGGGGAGTCAGCTAGGCTCTGAGGGCAGTCAGCTAGGCTCTGAGGGGAAAAGGGAAAAAATCTAATCTTCAGAGATACACAGGAACAACCATCCTCTTGAAAACACCTCAAGAATTCAAGTGATCTAAAAACTCCCAAAGTGGCTTTTAGGAGCCATTCAGCTGCCTGCAGGAACAGGAAGCTTCTTTAAGCAAGAACAGGGCAGAAAAAGCTGACCTTCGTCTTTTCCCTGTGTCATATCACAAAGAAGCGGGTAAGTTCCTATACTCCATTTCACTCTGTCTTCTCTAGAATGACTCACAACCAAACTATTGGAGGGAACGGGGAACTATGAGTTGAGCCTCTTTCAGCCAAGAGACAAATTCAATCTCAGAGGATTGTGGGGAGCATCTAGTGGAGTCAAAATAACAAAAATACCAGTATATTTGTTTAGCTTAATGGTCATTCTGCCAGTAACTAAGCCATTTGGGAGGAATTTCTTTTCTTTTTCTTTTTTTTAAGCAGAAGCTGGGAAACCACCAAACAGTGGTTAGGAAAAAGGGAGTGGTGATAGGGGAAATGGTTAAAGCCTTCTGGGAAAAGCCAGGAGGCAGGGCTGAATTGGCCAAATCTGGCTCCAGCAGCGAGTCATGATGATGATGTTGCAAAACCTACCATACCTCCCCTTCCATAATGTACAAACCTGGCCTTATAGTACCACCTATGCCAGAGACTTCCATGGCCTACTGGATAGGAGAGAAGCAGTTGATACTTGCAGCTACAAACAGTTCACTTCAGAGGTTCAAAGCCCCAAGACAGCGCAAATTATAGCAAACAGCAATCTTTCTTCTAGGCCCAGCCACAACACCCAGTTCACTTCATAGCCCAATAAATGGGTAACCTGCAAGGCCCCTAGAAGAGTTTCAGTCATGATGTATCACCAATGAGTCTACACAGACACTATTCACAACATACCACAGGAATACATTGGTACCTGTGTAAGGGGAATGTTCTGGAATTCCAAAATTAGTCCCAGGAGAAGCTGACCTTTCTGGTTCAAACCTGGAGGTCCTTCCAAAGTAAAGCACTTGCCACTTTGCTTGCCACAAAAATATTAACAGGAAGCTATACTGTCTTGCATGCAAGAAGTTAATAGCATTAAATGGTAATTAAAAAGAACAGTGAGAAATGTAACACTATACACCTTTGCTATGCCTTCTTTGTTCTGACTGGTTAACAGTTTCACTATAGATGTGACTTACTTCTTTTGGTTACTTAGAGTAACAAAGGATGATTACGTTGTTTTGGAACACAAGGATTATATACATTGTTTAGAAAACAAATATATTGACATTTATTGACACCTATCTCTAACAGAACTTATGCACCAATGTCATATACAATGAGAAGGGAAGGCCAGTTTCAGGTTCTTGAAGAACCTTGGATATGACAGTCGCCTGGGGTTCTCTTCCTTAGTGAGTGTATGTTCTTATTGCCATTTTCACCAACTAGTGACACTGCCTCTTCTTCATTACTATCACATGCTAGCTTGCCAGTCAAACAATGAAACAGGAAGTGGCATTGCCACCCCCTCACCACCACCACCGTCTGGAGCACAAGAGATGGTGAATAGGCAGGTTGCCAACAATGAACAAGATAAGCCAGTAGGCAATCTGCTTAGAGCCCTTAGCAGGTGCCCAATCATGCCAACCCTTGACACCAGACCTAATGTTAGGCATGTAAATGCAGAACGTTGCCATGTCAAATTATGGCTATGTATCTATATATTATGCAGGAGGAGAGGGAGCTAAACCTCCATTGATGTCATTTTTGACATCAGTTGTGTTTTGTGCATACTATCTAATTTGGTCCTAAACTGTAAGGGGTTTGCCTAAAAGAACCACATTAATGTTTTGGGTTTTTTTAAAGTGCTTATTCCTGAATCAAAGTCAAATGTATTATTATTACATTTTAAGTTCTGACTGCAATTTCCAGGAAGTGGATGCTCCAGTTTTGCAGAAATCAGGCCTTCACACACTTCTGAGGCTGCAAAAATTGTGATGCTTTTTAAGCAGTGTATTTTATCTCAGTTTGGCTCATAATTATTCATTTGACATCACACTGGAAAAGAATATATATTCAAGTTATTGGTTGTGGGTGCTAAATTGAATCAGGTGTCCTTTCCTCTTAAGAAAATTAAGTTGCTTTTGTGCATGAGTGTTTTAATGAGAACAGAGCTTGCCGACATTGATAAATGGGAATGACACCAGAGAGAGCATGTAAGCAGGACAATATGCGCATGTTACAGCCTTACAGCCAATTTTTCACTGACTATCTTGAATGATTTCACCATT